CAAATCAACTTTCTCATATGATTGTGCAACAGCAACTGCACGGTCATGATGGTTCATATTTTGTTGAATTCCACTCAACACCCGCACATAGGTGTTCATCAACTGTTATAAGGGCAAGTATGGCCATTTTAATGTTCAGGTGGGAAACTTTTCTGACAATCTCCGTATATGCTGATAATAAATCCGTGCGCCCAAATGTCTTCTCTTAGACCCTAACAGCATTCAGTCTGTTTTATTCTTCCGCACTAAAGGTTAAATATCCCTTGGTTGACCATTGTCTTACATACCTTTTCTTGGTAACGAGTATTTTCCTCTACGCTACCGTAAGATTATCCCTCTTCCACACGAACCTATGGCTCACCGTAGTCGTCATCCCTGAATGACAGAGGGACACTCGCTTCAGCGACGTGAAACGGTTAGGAACAATAAAAACAAATAGAATGTAGGTAGGGACGGACGAGTGGCCGTATAGGCCCAGGTTTGCTGCTGTAACAGTTGCGGCGTTTTTTTTGCAGAATCTCGCGGTACGGATAAAGCGCGGAAAATAATCTCCCGGGACGGACAAAAACGTGGAAAGTTTCAAACAATAGTCGAGTCGCGAATCATCACGCCGGTTTTTCCCCCCTCCTATTAAAAATCGCTTATCTAACTGTATATTCCCCGTAAATAATAAATATATAAGAACGAAAGTCCGAAGGTCCAACAGTTTTTTTTATATAAATTTTCTTGGAAGGAGACTTCCTGGGTAACTCTGAGTACACCCCGAAAAGAAGACTCGTTACAATGCATAAAGAAAAATACATAAGTGATGTTTTTTTTTATCGTGAACATATATATCTAACAAGTTTCAACCTCGAATTTCAGCCAGAATCTTAATATTTATCGCTGTGACTGTTCCAAAGACAAAAAAAAATGCGATAGAAGAACAAACAAAGCTCCGGTTGCGAAGCTCCGCAGTTCCGGTTTTTAATCTGATCGATAGTATGTATACGTTATGGAACCTAATCCAGAAAATTTAGAGACTCTCGTTAATGAAGAAGGTAAGTACTTGCTGGTATCTCCAATACGCTCTCGTAAGTCTTGAAAACGAAAGCATCTTCTGTATAGCAAGACATAGATGAGGAACGAATGTCTTTTGTGAAAGCTAACTCTCGAGGTTTCATTATACATATTACGACTATTTGAAAATTAATGGGACCGCCTCCTTTAGAACGGCCTGATTTAAACATTTCCTCGATGATAACAGATTGCGTGTTCGACATAAAAAAAAATAATAATACATATATATGTAATGATAATGTACATTTTAATTCACACATTTCTTTCAATCATAATCGTTTCTTTCCAATATATTCATTAATCTGTTACTTAACTTTAATATCTATTCTTAACTTTCACGCGTTAAGCGTTTCACTTTCAATTTTGTCTAAGCCGCTAAATTAAACAATAAAAAAAATTGTTTTGTGTGCAAAAAGCAAATATTGCGGCAAAAATGTGTATGGACCCATTACAAAATTTTAGGTAAAACAAGTGAGAACGCTACAGTTAAGGAAGGCAGACTATTAGATCCCCTAAAGCATTGCGTTTAATTAATAATACATAAAATTTTCTACACTATTTTTTTTTTAATGCATAATTTTCATGAAATCCCTCCCTTGGACAATGCTTCAACATCAACGTAGACTGAGTGTAGGAAACTTAATTTATTTGTCAAAGTTATTAATATTTTCCAGTTGCTTGCATTATAACAAACTATAAATTAGGCTTTGTCGCCATTGCAAGGTTAGCTTTCATGAGAGGCCCTTTGGATCTACGTGATCCAAACTGCCTGCTGTCGATATACTAAGGACACATTTTCATCATAGAATATTAAAAATTAGACCTCTTTTATGTTATTACGCATTAGAACTCTTATAAAAGTTGGAATCCAAAAAATAGATGTATCTGATCCCAAGTTGGTGAGGTTAATTTTTATATCAAACTACCATTATCAACAAATTTTCATCAAAGAGTACTGAAAATTAGGCCTTTTTGCCGATAGGGTTTTAGTTGCCGTAGGATCGGTTATATGGCTCTAAAAGGGCTCTAAAAATTACGCTATCCAATCGAAACTTCTCACAACGATTTAGAATACCGAAATAATATTACTAAACGATTTTTGCCGCGAAATTCTAAAACTATCAATATTTTTTCTTGCAAAAATTAGCCAAAAAAAACCATTATATATCGAGTGGTCGAAAAGGTAGACCTATCTGAACCATTTTCAATAGCATTCATTCTTCCGCCAAAGCACGCCAGTATACCATCATGAAAATATCTCGAAGAAACGACAACCCAGCTCTACACTTATTAACTGAAAGTGCCCTTCAATGAAAAGTGAATCGACTGCGACAAACCCAAGCGCAAAAGAGTATGCCTTAGCCCAGGATATCCATTCACATAGTACATTACGAGCTGTTAAAACGGAATGAATAAATGTTGCTGCAGATAACTACCGATGTCAGTTGAACAAATTGGACGATGTATTGTTGCAAGAAAGGTTGGCAAAAGCGGTTGACAGACGCAAAGTCATTCTCTTGCATGACAACACTCTGCCGCCCGTTGCAACACTGGTCAAGGATACACTATTGCAGTTCGAATGAGAAGTTTTACCGCACCCGACTTACAGCATACATAGCGCCTTTTGATTAGCACTTGTTCAGACCGATCAGACCGACCCAGCATTGTTTGACTGGCCCGGGTCGATAATTCGATCGCTGCCAAAACAAAATCGTTCACGTTGCCAGATAGCTGGAAAAAATTTGTAGAAAATTATGGAAATTATATTGATCAATATATATTGTATCCATTTTTCTCAATAAATCACTTCTTCAAATCAAAAATGATTAGAATACATTCAAGCACTTATTATTTTACACAATTGCAAAGTTTGCAAAGAAAAAAGGTTTCGAAATTAATCAAAGCAATCGATAAATAAGAGATTTTAGTTAGTGAGTTAAGTCAATATGTGCTTAAGAATAATTTAAAAGTGTGAATGTGTCATTGACATACGCGTAAATACATCAATTGTCCCTGCCACGGCTTAATAGGATCCGAAATTTGCGTCAATTTTTTTAAACTTTCGAAGAGCATTCATCAAATTTGAGACCCTACCTAAGTTCTACGCTCTAAATACATTTTTGTGAACGGTCTACTACAACACCATCACACCCAAATGCGGCCGCTTTCAGAGGTATTACAAACTTGCTACCTTCCCATTGCGTGGGATCAATAAGTAAGTATACGAGAAATATTCAAAATTCTTTCATCAAAATGAAAATATGTTTCAAATACTTTTTAGTAAGTCATCGTTACGTACTGCCAACGGGCCATAGTCAACCACGAGTTGCTAATATACTTATTTTGACTGGCGATCATAATCTCTAGGAAAGTTAATTGTGTTTCTTCTTCACTTCAAATATTACACTTCTAGTTGAAGAAACCAAGTATTCTGCTCAAAATGACAGAAGTCCACCTACTACTTACTAACTGCTATCGACATCGAGTTGCCGTCGCGGTGCGGGTCCTCTTTGCTTACCGTCCTGGGCATCTAAGTAAAAATCTTTTACAAAAATTTTAAACGACGCGGCTTTCATTTTGCAATTAATCGTCTTTTCCCTTGATCGATGTACATATAATATCGGATAGTAATCAAAAGCTCATTCTAAAGGCGCTAGATATGGCACAATGTCAAAGTGCTTGCGAATACTTTTGTACGACTTGTTCTTCGCAAATTTGTAAATGCGATTCGCATCAAAATTAATCGGGAGGTGCACTTGTTTTGTTGTGTCAATGCTGCCAAGCGTTACTGGGTGTGATAAGTTTTGGAACCGCTTGTCGTTGCGGAAAAGTATTCGGTCGATGTTAATACGCGGATTACATCTTATTTGCAATGGCTTTGTAATTATGCCGGTTACAACATATACCCAGTCAACGCGAAATAAAAGTGAATGTAAGATAAGAAATAATGATTAATGAAAGATGATTTTTTTCATACCCACTACCGTAGAATGAAAGCGTAGTTGTTTTGTCACAACGCTTATAATACTTTGGAATTTCTGACCAAAAGTCCGCGAAAATGTATATGTGTTTGGATAATTACTGTTATTTTCATAAATTTAATAGGGAGATAAGCCGGCCTACGCCTGTGGTCAAACAATTAAGAAAGAAAAGAAATATAGAGAAAAAAAGAGCAGTGATAACCCGCACAAGGCTTAAAGAAATGCAAGTCTTCCTGCCAACAATTTACCAACTATCGTCATAAGCAACAAAAGTAGAACTAAGCAAAGGCTCTCAATCAGACGAACATTTTTTTTTATTTTACCTTAGGTGATGGATACACAAACATCGTCTTAAAACAATTGTAGCTTACTCTTTACTTATTCCATTTAAAAATTGTTTATTTTAAAAACAAATAATAAAATTAATTTCATTGTAAATATGGCGAATAAAATTTTTACCTTTGCAGTCAGGGAAACATCAGCAAATTATTTCTTGCATTTTCTCATTCACTTATCATAAATCTACCTGAAAGGCAATCCATGTTCAAAATACGGAATATATTTTTTTTAATTCTCAACATCGTCTGTGTTCATGTAATGAACTGTCAAATATCACAATGCCGTCCTATGGAATATCAACTCAGGGGTGAAAATCAAGTGATTAACATAACTTCCCCGTATTATCCTGGATTTTATGCTACAGGCACAAATTGTCGTTACCGCATAACTGCTCCTCCGGATCATGTAGTTGTCCTGAGTTGTCGTTATGAACTCGTAAGTAGTGAGACAAAACCTATCTCATCCCAATATTAAAAAGAAAATTTTCGTTTTTGTCCCAAGTTTCCCAACATCTGTGATAGCGAATCATTTTTTATATCCTTGGATGGTGATTTTCAATTTCGTGACGCCGAACGATATTGCAGTTCGTCTCAAATGACACGAGTTTCTCATTTTCGTTCGTTGTCAATAGCCTATTATTCATCTCTTGCTGGCACGATGGTACGCGGACGTTTCTTTTGTCATGCTTTTGCACAGCAGCAGGCATGCGATTGCGGATGGTCACCAGATTTGAGGGTAACCAATGGTCAGGAAAGTTTGAAACATGAATTTCCTTCCGTAGTGGCTTTGAGAGATTTGTACGCTTCGCAAAGATTATTTTGTGGCGGCAGTATAAGTAAGGACACGGCTAGCTAAAGAAAATATTTTTAATGGTTGGATTTATTATCGCTCTTACCTTTGTAGTAAGCCATCGTCATATAGTGACCGCTGCTCATTGTGTGGAAAAGCGCAGAAACCTTTCCAACATAATAGCTTATGTAGGCTATCATGATTTAATGAACGGTAAGCGTTATTATGAAATCCACAACTAAAGGGCACAAAGTAAAAATGTTATTTTTTTCTTGTCTACCCACCATCTCGAGCTAATTTAAAAAATGCACTACGCTTCTCTAATAATGGTCGCATTAGATGATCGCTCGATATCACACAACATTTTTCCGCCGTTTCCTACTGCCGTAGCTAGATACTTACGCAAGAATTACGCGCAATTTCCAAATTTGAGTTGACTTTATGAACTTAGCATTTCCTATATCGTATGCCTCTGAAGTTGTCGACTGACGATAGATAGGCAGATTTATTTAGTTAAACAGATGCAGAAACTTCTTATTTTTTATACTCTGACAGTTCGTACGGGTCTACAATACTCCTAATTATCTATTATCGGCCGGGAAAATTTATAATTTGTAACTCATCAAGCACTCACTGCTTTGCAACCCATAATTGAAAAGTATGATGTTATCCATGAATTTGGCATTCACAATGGAATTAAGAAATGAAGTGAATGTTCAACATTCTTCACCTTCACGACAAGATTCTCGCCGATTGGAAACGTAACATAGTCTATCAAAACCATTCTTTTTAGAGAGTTGAGGACCACATGTACACTTCTCATCTTTCTGTCCCTTAAGCAAATTTCTGTAACCGATGGAGCTTCAGTAACGGACAGCATCTGATCGAGCAAACATAGGCAGATAATATTAGCGATTCATGGCATTGAGAGAGCCATCTCTCACGGCCGAAATTTTCGCCATCTCTCTGTTAATAAATAAACAACGCGGCAATAAAACGACACCGCTTCGAGCGGAGATTATTGATCGAAACAAATTTGTATTTCTTCCAAATTAGTCAAGTGGATCCCTGTCAAACCATGAACAATCGAGCGAAACGGGAAATAATCGACAGGCTTCTCTTCATACAACTATGGCGAGGAACGTAGTAGATCTCACTTCAGCGTTTTGTTGAACAGTCGAAATGGATCGAAGGATCGTTATCACACTACGTTATCACTCGTTCGTGTTTGGTATCTGATTTTGACTGTTTTTCAAGCAGCTCATGGTTTAAAGTGATCGGTCGTTATTCGTAGCGCTTATCCATACTTCGTTTGGATCTCTCATAAATACGATTAATGCTTACAAACACTGAAACACAACCTCAAAAATTTCTTATTCGAAAATGATGGGTAAAGAGCGCGATCTCTTGATTTTCTCAACCATTCTAAAGCCATTTGTTGAAAACAAATATTGGACATTACAGTTAAAATAAGCGTCGCAACTTTGACTACAATTTCCCAATTTTTCGGCCGTCGATAAGCACTTTATCTTCCCTGCTATATCGTATAGTGTTTGTTAACAACGCCAGCATGATTTTAATGTGAATTTTCACTTTTTCAGATAACGAGTCATTGTACGCGAATCAATACGGGATACAGAGCATAATTGTTCATCCCGGTTACACTACAGCATCGACGGGGAGGGGTAATGATATCGCTCTACTTGTAACTTCAAAGCCTATAGAATGGTCAAGAGGAGTTGGACCGATATGTCTACCATGGCTGCAACGGTAGGTTTAGAAAGATTAAAAACTTTCGCAGCAAAATTCATGCAATCGATCCGTTTCTCTTAGGAACGAACTCTTTCCTTATGTAACCGTTGACGTAATTGGCTGGGGTACCACATCGTTCGCTGGCTCGAAATCCAATGTGCTACAGAAAGTCCAATTGATGATTTTAGAAAATCATATATGTCAACAGCAATACAATCATAGCATAATGTCTTCACAAATATGTACGTTCGATTATCGGGGTCTAGGACAAGATTCATGTCAATATGATTCGGGAGGACCACTAATTTATAGACAAGCTTATCATATGTTATTGGGTGTGGTAAGTTATGGGCAAAGTTGCGGTCTACGTTATGCAGTCGGCGTGAATACGAGAATTACAACTCATTTGAGTTGGTTATGGGCATACACCCAAGATGACGTATGTGTAAAGCGAAAGTAAAAAGTGATTTTTATATTTTTTTTTTTACATATTCTTTTTGTTTTTATTTTTGTTGTTGTCTGACTTTCTCTATTTTCGTAAGTGGACTCTTTATTGTGCACATTTTGTTACGAGTTTATACATTTAATGACTTAATTTATGCAGGAAAAATATATTTGAAAGATAATGAGTTTCGTTAAGCCTTTGATGTTTATTGTTTGATGATGATGTTGATGATGATAATTTTACGTCTGCTTGGCATTGTTGCTTTGTATTTAAAGTAAATTAGCGTAAAGTATACTTGAAATTGTTTTACAAATACAATAATTGTTTTTAAGTGGTGCAATTTTTTCGCATTTTGCTACAAGCACAAAAAAATCATGAAAAAAGCTGCACATAATAACAATTGAAAGTTCTTTCGAAAGGGGAAAAGTAGATAGCAGCAACAAGTTTAAAATTAAGAAATAAAAAAAAAAAAAAATTATCAAAAACGCCTTTAAAGCTTTTCACACGGCTTTGGTGTCGGCTCGACTCTCTTCCTATTTAGGTAACAAGTCGTTACTTTTCATTGAAATTCTATTTCAGAGACATAAAATATGACTTGGTCAGAGAGATGTTCGATTGGCGATTTCTCTCATCGGCAGACTTTTACAGGTGCAGCAGCAATATTCTTCGCTCTCTCCTTTTTCCATGCCTCGTCGGGAGAAGAAAATTTTAATGTGCACGCATCGGATAGATTATTTAACCACCTATTCAAAGGTCACAAGATCCGAAAATAGTTAGCTTTCCCTGGGACAAAAAGCTAACTCTCTGTTTGACAAAACTACATGTTACCAGTGCTCGTTCAACACAACAAATTTGGCTCTGCATGATTTTTGCAATGCATTGAAGTCCTAGCGCTTTAACCTACCAGGTAAAGACCGGCCTAATAAGTGTGCCTAATGATTACTTCCAAGCGAGTAAATGAAAAAACATGTCTCAATCTCTATAATCTTCAACGTAAAAATAGGTTTGGTAATAATTTGGCGCTGAGTAAAGTATTTTAACTGGAGTATCCGCAAGATCGTTTGGACGGGTCAATGAGCTTGCAATCATTAAAAAAAGTTTGTTACGGCGGGAGTAAAACGCGAAAACACGAAACAATGGGCAAGGGAGATAAGAGATTTCTCAAAATCTGACAAAAAAATTAATTCGAATTAATAACATTAACTACGGGGAAAAACTTATACATATTGTATGCTTTGTCAGATCTTAATATGAAGTTTCACTTTTGCACAACATGCAATATAAACGTTTTGTGAAATCGTCATTTATTTATGTTCTATTCAATATTCAACTAGAAATAGATACTAACAAACAATTCCCAAGATACTTGGAAGATTTTAACGGCGTATTACTATAGATAATCTATTTTGCTACAGGCAATCAGTGATAGCTCCAAGTACTTAAGTTTCAGGTATGGCACGACAAGAGAAGTATAAAAACAAAACCTAATCGTGTACATTAAAAATGAGAGAAAAGAAAAATCGCAATGAAATGCTAAATGGATTAACGGATTATAAAATACGAGAAAATTAAAGGAGTGGTCTCACTCTTAGCAGCGAACCCATTAAACAAGTCCTTTTATTGCGAGAACCGCCGTGCCTCATAACCTAGAAGACCCTCTACAATAAATGAGACCCTCTAAGCTAAGAACGCTGAAGTTGTGCAGATGATAACTAGCATTTGTTCGACATACCGACGAACACTGCCCATATTACGACACTGACTATTAAACATTTTTCTGTTAATTTCATTTTATTTTATTAAGTTACTATAAAGCCTTGAAGGCCTACGAGCTAGTTACATAGATACATTTCATATGCAAAAGAAACTACAACATAAGTGACTACACAAGTCAGCTAAAGTATGGCTGATAACGTAAGCATATTGCTCTAACAACTCCACAATCATTATTCATCCCCATATGATCGAAAGTGTTTCTTACATTGTGGCTTTACTCGCATATACACTATGAATAACATTTATAGCTAACTGATTATATTTGACTTTAGATTTGTTGTTACTGTCTGTCTTATCGATATAGCTTCGCGATTATATTCGTAATTATTATTTTTAGTTTCATATGTTGGCGGAGAATATTATATTTTACATTAAAGTAAAGAGTAAAGAATGCAGATGCTACGTATTACAATAAAGGCCACGCCCTAAATTTCAAAACACAGAATATGTGACAAGGGTTTAACGTGGGTTCCTGCCTGTAAGGCTTAACCCCACGGTGGCCCAAACCACTTTTAAGCGTACTACGCCCCCTGGCGAGTTAGACAATCCCCACAGAGTAGGGGCCTAAACAGCACCAGAGTCCAGAACAGTTTATTGTGTATGGAACAATAAACCCCACTCTGGTGAATGGCGAGGCCTAGCTGCACTCAATTGTTCCATTTTAGCTAGGAACTCGCCAACCACAACCACCACGAGTACTCCCCGAAGGGCCGCACCCAAGCAGTCAGGACTCACAAATTGATCAACTGACTGCTTCCGCCATAAGGCTTCCACTGTGCTGTTGATCAATTACCACCATTACCCGCAGGCATCCGTGACATATGTTCAAAAGTAAAAATAGGTAAAAGGGGAAAACTTATTCGTCATATCCCTTTTCCATTTTTGCATGTATTAATTAATTTACCAGACATTTTCTATCAATCGGCCAAAGGGAAGGCCGTCCGTCAATTCCTTTTTGCATTAATAGTATAATTAATTTATTTATTACGACTTAAGGACAAAGTCCATCATATACCCGCAGGCATACGTGGCTTTGTGAGGCGAGCTTCCTGACCCCCGTGGCTCCCAGTTTGTTTTGCAAAGCCTTATGGCATACTTTGGGCGGTTGTTAAAAACAACCGTACTTGCTTCGGATCCTCCACACTTTCCTGGTTGCCAGCCCCAAGTGAACTACTTTTCTTCAAGATATATAGGTCTCGGGTATTGCACTGAACATGGTAGACTAGTCTAATGCACTCTACCATGCACTTGCTAGATTACTACCTTCATTGTACTTAAATACCATTCAATATATTTCCTCGGTAGTAACTAGCTTATTGAGTAAGAGCTCTTCTTCCAGCCAACCCCTCCACCATCTCTCAGAAACTCGTCGCCGAGTTAGCAGCCCAAAACCTTAAACTCTTCTTAGCCGGCCGAAGCCGTTGCCCGGGGATCACCGCTGGGAGGTGAGAGTTTCGGCACATCTATGCTTCCCATCAAAGCATAGTTCATCTCCCCAAAACACAGAAGGAATAATACAAATACGTATGTAGGTACCAGAAATTTTTACCTCTTACTCTACTATATCCTTATAATTTTCCTCAAGGAAAGCCAAATGAGGTAAAACTAAAAATTTCCCCAGAAGAGCCTACGTTAGGTTTATCCTTGAGTTTAAAAGAATTCAGAATGCACAATAAAAACTTTCATTAATTGAGATATAATTTATCAACGTAAGAATCTTTAACAATGTTTGTCAGTCCATCCGTCCGTCTGCTCGTCCACCACATGTTCACATGCTCACTGCTATAGAAACTGAGTATACATGAATACACAATTAGTTAGAAGGCTACAAGTGCCGCTCGCAAGTGCCCACCTTGAGTCTGCAAAACTCTATTTCTCACAATGAATGGAACATCACAACTTTTATGTAAATAATCAGCAAATGCAACTTTGTTGTTCACTTGAACGTTTAAATTGTTAGCAGCGAAGTAATTAAATTAATATACCCTCCGTCCATACATTTCCTTATTATGTTTTGAGGATATAGATCGATATACGTGGAAATAAATAGAATAACCGCGGAGTAGCCGTATAGAGAGTAATCACAATTACGAAGTCAATGTTCACGGGTTTCAGTGCAATAAACGTTAGGTTTGATCGTAGTGAGTGCTCGGCCATTCGATGAGCACACATCCACTAGGCTACGACCAACTTTCTCTCTAATTTCTTTCTAAACGTCCCAGTGTCATGCGTATATAGGGGACACCTTTGAGTTATTGGCGATATTAAGAAACTTAAAACTTGAAAATAATGTAAAGTAAAAAAAAAAAAATTGCTTACAATATGAATAGTTAAAGAAAATATATCTGATTAAAATTCCAAACGTATCAGACATTTTCTAGTAATTATTGACGATATGCTTTCTTACATTGTAATCAATGCAATGGAAATTTCTTTAAATAATTCGCAAATATTGTGTATTTTTTTGCTTGAAAATTTAATCTTAAATCCTGTTTGTATTGCTCATCAGATTGCTTAGATGTATGGATGTATACTATAGCATCCTGCCAATTCTTGAAATCAATTAATATAAAAATTCAATATTATATGTTTCAGATTTCATTAGGGAAAACAAGCAAAACAACAGCATGAACCAAAAATTTTGTATAAACTATTTATATGAAAGGCGCACCATTACAATTACAATAATAATAATAACAACAACAACAACAACAGTAACAAGAATAGCAACAAGAACAATGAACATTAGGCAAAGGCATAGAGATATATTATACAGCAATTTATGATGTAAAATATTTTTGATCAAATCAAAATGACAAAAGAGTTAATTTGCATTTAAATTAAAATACAGGCTTTACTAAAACTTTTTCTTCTTCTTCTTCTTTTTCTTCTTCTTCTTCATTTTAGTCTAATACAAGCATAAACATAAGCATGTTAACAATAAGTTAGTTGCAGGCAAATGGAGTGTAGAGCGCACACAACTAATATAAGTAATAATAATAAGATGGGAAGGAGCCCTAAATGGAGATGAAGAAGAAAAAGAAGAACAAGAATAAGAAATTGTTATTAAAGTTTTCTATTGTGCAGACCTATGTTAAAATGCACATATATATATATATATTTATTTATATTTATACATAACATTAAGAAATAGTAAGAGCAGGAAGAAGCTTTTAATTGCAAATGAAGTGTGGAACATAACAAGAGAAAGAAGAGATTGTTTTCAAGTTTAAAGCCAA